AGCGTCAATGGAGAACTTTCAGAACAAACACGCTGAAGAACTAGATTTCTACGCATATTTGCCCTGCTGTGAGTGCCACTCCAAACCGTTCAGCTTTATGACCGGTAAAGGTGGCACGGGGCATCAACTTATGTCACTGCAGTGTCTCTGACCGGGAGGTCCTAGATTGAAGTCCCGAGTCCCGGTGGAAGGATTGTCCACATTAGCTTGTCAGCTGGGTCGAATTCAGACGCGGTCTGGAGGAGAATATCGATATTAACGAGCGATGGAACAGTTAACGTGCTCTGGCGAAGTATGCAACAGTTAAGCTGATACGCGATGGTGAAGATAGCTGATCATGGTAATGACGAAGCTGTCGGGTGGCGGCAAAATTTGCGGGCGATGGGAAATTAGGTGTTAGGTGGTAGCGAAGTTAGCACTTCATGGCGGAGTAGATGGGTGATTGTGAAACTGAAACGGAATGGCCAGTGGACAGTGGTTGAGCGGCATAGGAATGGGAATTAAACGGGCGATGGAGAGGTTGCTTAGCGGTGGCGTAGTAAACGGGTGGTGTAGTAAAGCTGGGAGGGATTGATGAAGAGAGCAGGCGATGGCAACGTTGTTGCGCAATGGCGAGGAATGTCGGAAGACGGTGAATATGTTGCTTCTTGGAAACGTAGGCGGGCGATGGTGAATCTGAGTACACGTGACGAGGTTAGCAGGTAATGGCAAAGTTGTTGAACGTTGGCGAAGTTGGATGGTGATGACGTCTTACGGCCAAGTAGGTGAAAACTGCTGTAGCGATAGGCCGTAAACGATGTTGACGAGCGATGTCAACTAGAGGGCGTGATGGGCAATCGTATGTGGAGATGGGGAAAGACGAAACAAGCGGACGGTGCCACCCGGTGGCGGAACTAGCGGGTGAATAAAGAGGAATATGTTGATTTCGATGAGCGATGGACGTTTTGAGGGCAATGGCCAATGTCGTGGCCTATATATTATTGACAGAGACAGTGGGTTATCGGCAAGCTAGCGGATATTGACGTAGTTAGTGTGAAGATGTTGGTAATTAATCACGATTATGTTATGACTTGCGATATCAATTTTGACACTCACATGAAACATGTTACAAGTCATGGGGAAACCGGCTAGAGAAGACTATGCTGATGGACGATTGTAAGGTTGAAGTGCGATGACTTATTTAGCGAGCGATAACGATGCGTAGGAACTTAAATTTTGAGGCGACGGCCAAATCCATCTAGTCTTGTTATATTATTTCATGATATCTGCAAGAAATACTCGGATAACTATACGCAAAGGCTAAACAGCGGTATTTCAGTTAGTAATCAAAAGTTTGTCTTAATATTTGAGTCGATTCAAAATGTCCTTCAGTTTTCACTTGTGCAAAAAAGCAGAGGCGTTCCTATGAAAAATGATGCACACATACACTATTATCAAGCTGTAAAAATTCGTCAACGGTTATTGATTATGTAATCAGAATACTGCTCTACTTGAAATTATAAAAACCACAGAAAATATCAACTATTTTGTATATTTTTTATTATACTATCGGGATTTTTTAATAGGAGGTAAAATGTTATGTCGCAATACTGATGTCTTCAGAAACCTCAATCTGAAACATTGCACATGCACATGTATAACACATAATAAACACTTCTCATATAGCACGTTGATGTCAGACTTACTACTTTTCTTCACAGATGGTTGCATTGCTGCTGGTACCAGTTTTCCATTTCTTCTCACGCGTGTTCTTTACCACACCGCCATCGATTTCTTTGGCAAAGTACAAAGAGATGAGAAATGTAAATAATTGTGGTCAAAGGTGCCAGTTATATTCGCTTCGGCGTATTAATTTCTTATTTTCACATTGGCTTCTACTTTCGTTCGTTAATCTAAATATTACAAATATCGAGCGTCAGCGAATTATTAAGTTCACAAAACCAGTACAATCAATAATATTATTCGTACAAATCTCAACTTATATTATTTTCTACGAGTTTTTCGTTAACTTTAGAATCATTACTTGCATATTCACGCACGATGTAGTTATATTCACGAAACACATTCACTATCGATGTGTTCTGTTATTGTCTGTTGATAATGGTATTGCACACAAAGAAGTTCGATATTTTTAGTAACAAATACACAATTCTTTAGATACGATATTCACAAGTTAAAGAAATAAATATGCCCAACAATTTCAGTACCTTTCACAATTCACATTCATATTCACTGCCTTCTCTTGCAATTAAAAAATGTCTATAAGTCTGAAATATTCTCAAATTACATCTAATATTACTGTAGGTTTTCTCAATTCACAAAATTCAATTATGTTCACAACTTGATAACAATATCAAACTGTGCATAAAACTAAAACAGTTCCGTCCCCGTTAATTTTAAAACCACAAAATTGTTGTTAATATTTTGTGAATTTCGTACTTTAATAATTTGGAAACTCCGGACTAAAAAAATTTACGCGTTGAAACACGCAATTCTGCGCGCCTAAACACTAAATTATCGAAATTCTACAATAAATTTTCGCGCACAAGTTATCACGTTCTGTTACGATGACCGCGCCGACACGAATGTCCAGAACGCTTGATTCACACGACCGCATTGGGGAGATGGTGGTGGGGACGAATACGTAGCCCTCATTGGCGTAGGCGAGCCCCTGCTCCCTCAAAAGCAAGGTGGTCTCTGCACGACGCGATTGGCTGGTGATCACGTGGAGGGAGCGTTGCAGTGCGACCAGAAGAGTGAAGTCACCCCCTTCCCACTCACTTGTACGTCCAACTGTTCTTAGTTCTGTGTCCTAACGTTTCAGTCATGTCTGTCGCCATCTTAGAAAGATTTCATGTACTCAGCTGCAAAATCTATAGATAATTATATTGTGGACAATTAACGGAAGTGCAATAAAAATATTCTTATAATATTCCAAAACAGTTTTATCATAGTACTGGAATTATTATTATTATTATTATTATTATTATTATTATTATTATATTTGAAGTCTCTCGCTTAGCGAGGTGTCTTAGAGCAGACATCGGGACCTTTGAAGAACCAAGGTGCCTGCTTCGCTTGCAAACTCGGTCGGCCAGAATTCAACGTGAAGTAATATCAATAAAAACTTCCTCGCGTTGCGTGCAGTACTCAGGAGAACTGTATTGTGCATTGATTGAATGTGCCACTTCTTAAGGTTACAGACAGAGAGGTTACAGCATTGCAGACAATGAAATCAGTTCTTCAGAGGTAAGTCCATTTGCAGATATGACTACAGGGACTACTTCAATAGATACTAACCGCCACATGTCGTTCAGTTCAATACCCAAGGCCTGATACTGTCGCAACTTCTCGACAATAGATGCAACAATATATTGGTCTAAATGGGTAGCTATGTTGACTATAATTCCTTTCCGTGAGGCCTTATCAAGCCATATTATGTCAGGTCTGTAGGCTTCGGCCCTGCGACCAGTGGTGAGTGCTACATTCCACAAGAGCTTCCACAGTTTGGACTCCAAAAACTGAATCCGGCCTGAACTTGTAGTATGGGTCCTTTTTCTGTACCACCTCCGATGAAGGCATGATGCGTCTTTATTGTAATATCTGCGTTATTCCCAGATTCCTGCCCCCAAAAAAATCCGACGTCATCTTCTAAAGGAGAAACAGCATTACTATTCATTTTTTGAGTCAGATTGCGATAGAATCTCTTTACGTCTGTTCCCAACAACCAACACGGAAATCTACTTTACGTTTGTAACGTATAATGCAGCATTTGCCAACTGGAGAATATATGACGTCAGTGCACCGTTCCTCTCTGCGTGCAGGTGCTCGGAGAAGTAGTGCGAGCAAAGGAGGCAGAGAGAGAGAGAGAGAGAGAGAGAGAGAGAGAGAGACAGCAGACAGACAGACAGACAGACAGAGCGGCGGTCGCCGGTGACGAGAATCTTGACAGTGGATCTTTGCCGGCGTTTCAGGCAACATGAGAGGGAAACCATCTACATCAGTTAATTTTCTTTCGGTTTGGGAAGAATGGTTTCCTGTTGTAGATACTGGAACAATCGAGAAGTGTTTAGAGAGTTCGAAAGAACTGCAGTATATATGAAAAAGGGCAAAGGCCAACCAACAGATGCGAACATGCAGATGAGGAAAGGAAATTACAGATTGATGATTATGCAAAAGATACTGAAAATAACGAGGATTTACAACATTCTCAAATAAAACTACATTAAAAATAATCATGCATTAAAAATCATCAAATCTGGGGTCCAAATTATCTCACGTGCCCCTACCATGTACCTATTTGTTAGCATTAATTATTGTTTCAAAACGAAGTAATTCGGTATATACTATTGTATACCAGGAATTGATGCGATCGCAGATATATGCCCCGCTCTACTCGACAAATAGTGATTCTTAATGCTGGCCCGTGCGCGCGAAGAGAAGTCAAATGAAGCGCGTCGCGACGTCACAACCTGACGTCGGCAACGGTCGATCCAAGCGAAACCAAAGCTGACCAACGGCAAATTCATAAGATTGAGATAAGGAGATGAAAGTGTCCAATGGCCACCGAGACAGAAGGCGAGCGAACCAATGGGCGAGATCAGGGCCCTGCAACTCTCCATCAAAACTGGGGACAAAGCTCGAGGGTGCTACTATAGGTGGCGCTAGTGTCGCCGGGTGCAGCTGCAGGTTAGGCTCGCCAACTTTTCCACCTACAAATTGGCTAATTTGTGAGAAATACGAAAACTGTCCTCTAAATGTTCAGTCATAATCTATACTTATAAGAAACCACCGAAGAAAGCGAGAACATAGGCGTTATCTTTTGTAACATTATGGGCCTTTCTTGCGACCCGCGAACTCACGCAGCAGCCACGCACGTTTAAAGTATCGTTGGCAGCAGTTCGTGTTTTAGTTCTTGTAAAGAAGGTGATGCAACAGAGCGCGCCTTCGTAATGTTTTCCACCACGTTAAATGGGAGTTACAGGGCCCTGGGCGAGATATACTGTCTCGTGGAGAAACGGGATTTGAAAACTTTCGTGAGGAGGGAAGTCGAAGTCTGTTAAAAATTAAGAGAGTAGTCGAAATTTATACTCCTGAAATTCGTTGAGATTCGTCGGGCAGTTTGAAGTGCTTTATTGTGTGCAATTCGTCGTATTACAGTTATTTTATGTCGCATAAGTAAAAGGAAATATTCCTCGCGCAAATCCTGGTGCTCGGCGTGGTGGACAGAAGTCTTCGTGTATGAATTGGATTATGCTCATAAACAGAATTGAGTTGTGAGCGGGCGGAACGTTTACTACGGAGCGTGCAACGTGAGCCATCGCCAGCACATCTAACATTGGTGGTCATTTTGGACATATTCGTGCCGTGAACCAAAACTCTGTGTCGCGAACCACTACTGGCATGTACTGATGCACGTCCTTCAACAGCTGCGACGAAAATTCGAGCTCGCGCAACTTCCAATCGACGCGCTTTGAAGGAAAAGTCGATGTTGAAAGGACGGGAGGAAGGTCGAGCGCCTGCAATCGAGAAATGGAGAGCTCGACGCTGGGCCCCAGCCGACCGACATTGCCCTTGGTGTGTAGAGAAAATTTCCACATCGAGGTCGCGGGCACCTTCCAAAAGGTACGGCTACCCAACACGTTGAGGCAGCTCTGCGAGCCAGCGCGCTTCGTATCGCGAGGCGAGGCCACAGAAGGAAAGGGCCTGCTGCCAACGTTGGATTCTTACGGTAGCTACGCCAAGAAGGCGGGCAGCGCCTGCAAAGTCCATTCACCCCTACCGTGTTACGGAAGCGCGAGTCCCTATGTGAAGGAAAGCAGGAGTAGTAAGTTAATCCACAAACTATAGATCTGATTGAATTAAATAATAGAATTGATTTCAAAGAGAAATAAACGCAAAATTGAGACTGTACGATGGACAGGAATGTTTAATGATTGTTCCTCACAATAGTTGATTTCAAAGCTTATTTTGTGCGTAAATCTATTGTCATCATTAATTAACATTTTTAAACAAATTTTAATTTTAAATAATTCTAAACTTATGAAGGTGTGTATTGTTGTCACCTAAAATTGGTTAACATTAGGTGAAGGTCGTAAGAACCCGGGTTATTTGAAATCCGCACCAGCTGGTAGCCCAGATAATTCGTATTATAAAAAGTGAATTTAGAATTAAAATTAAAAATGGAATTATTAAACATTTAATAATTTGGCTGTGACATTCTAATCCAGCATAATTCATGGACGCGAGATTCGGATTCATGTGCCTCAATGTTAAATTATTCAAATATTTTCTTTTTTATCGAAGAATGATTTTGTCATAGATTCACATTTTTCTCAAATGTCGTTAACTTGCCTGTATTCTCCTAAACTCAAATTCCTAAACAGAATCCCCGGAAGATAATAAAAAAACAACCAACTCGACAGGTCCAAAAACGGATCAGCGGTAAACCGTCAGGAGTTGGAGGTATTACTCGCGCAACTTTTCTTGAACGATGACCTTGCTTCCCCTTCATTATTAGTGCTCATATTCCTCATTAGTGCTCGCAGCGAGCGCTAATGACAACATTCCAAACACATTTTCACTGGCGCGAAATAGAAACAATTTTCTTTTGAAGACGAGAACTTCTACCCGTTATTTTCTCCAAAAACCTAAAGAAATTACCAGAAGCAGGTAAAGATCTATTACAGGAGATACCTCAAACACCTGAGAAAGTTAGAACGCAAATTATTGAGAAATTTGCGAAAGCATGACTAATTCTCGAGACATTGGCATTGCTTTATGAAATCTCGTGGCCAATTTCGTAACTAATACCCCCATTCTACCCGCATTTCTTCAATCCATCGTTCAAGAAAAGTTGCGCGAGTAATAATACGCTGAGCAGCTGAACACAGGGTTCAGGACAACTTGGTCACTAGAGTTGAATGCACGATGCGCCACGGGAATTTTGGCGGATTGTTCCCTTGCAGTATGATTATTGTAATGTATTATTGTATAATTATATTAAACCGGTCTTTTCCAAAAATGATCTAATAGAATGATGGAAGTGGAATTATAGTACTGGTTATAAAGAGTCGGATATTGCTTTGAGTTATGTAATAATGTATATTTTATTACTCGATTCTTCATAATGTTTTTTAATCATCGGTGTTCTTAGCCGACTCCAAATTTATCTGAGAAACCAGAAATCCAGCTACATACACAATGTGCTTGATTTCAGTAATATCTATAACTGTATCTGGGGTCTGTATCACCTCATTTAAGACTGATTCGTGTTTTGTGTAGAATTTTCGTAATTTTCTTAATCGATTCATGAGATACGAATGAGATCAGACGAACTTGTTCTATCTCGCGTCGAAGGAGATTTCTCAATATGTCCTTATCGTGTAGTTCATAGCCAGATGGATTTTCTCCATCGACGGATGTTTCATTGGGGGCGAGGTGAACCTTCAACAGCACAGTTCGTTTTCAGGGACATTAGATCTAATGCTCGTCACATCTAGATGCTAGTCATGTGGATACACAACCCGCTCCGTAAGATGGCGTTGCAAGCAGGGTAGCCATCTATTGGAGGATCCGCGTACTATAATTAGTGTTGCATTTGGTTTGAATGTTGCAAGCCGAGATCACTTTTATTAAGTGGTGATAGCCAACTAATTGTGAGTGTATGCGTACAGAGTATTCAGAGTTTTATCCAGTGATTTTAGTCCTGACTGTAAGTACCCGTTTATACATTTTTGGTTTTTACTTGCGACAAAATAATACAGTTCGGAGTTAATTAGGAATATGTTTAAGAGACCTGATTCCTATAGCCTATTCCATGTCTCAGTAGCTGTGTCAAAATGTCATAATTATTTTCATCTATGTGAAATCGCCAGTTATTTTCTTCTATGTTCTTGATCTATGACTCAATATATTTTTTATTTCTGGTGATTTTGCTGAGCTTCTTAGACGTCGCAATCAAAGGCGTTTGAGTAAATTTGCCCATAACCGTATCTCCAAAATTACTACTTAACCGTTTGGTTAAAGTAGGTTTTAATGTTGGTTCTTTACTTTGAATGATGCAGTAAGATCAAAGCTTAAAGAAATGGGGAAATAGAATGCAAACATTCCTAGGGTAGTAGGAATTTTAAAATCAGTTTATTCACTCGTGTGTGTTTAATAACATGTTTTACATAAGACTTTTGTTTTTGTATTGCATTTATTTTTACCTCAATCCTTTAACATTTTAATGTCAGTTTTTTTTAATGTATGTGCTCTTTGATATTGATTGAAATGTGTGATTTTGCAATAAGTGATTTTGTCTGTGAATAATCTCACCTTGCATTGGATACATTTTTTTATTACCTAGTACATGCATTTTTTTCTTCTGAATACTTTTTGTGTATTGTGTGTTCACTAAAATGTTACAGAAAGGTTTCCAACAAAAGGAAATTGCATAGTGTAAAGTGAATATAAATATATATATTTATATAAATACTTTTGAAGAATTTTTATGGAATGTGTTTTTATGAATAATACTCTTAAGATAAGTTTCCCAATGTTCCTCAAAGTAGTAAATGTTTACAGTCGAACATGAAACGTAAAACTTTTATCTTTGTTGATCAAAAACCCTGAAAGAATTGTCAAATTATCAGTCTGTATACATAATTTAATTTGTCCATCTGTTTGACAATTCAAAATTTGTGGTCTTAATGTGCCACATGTCTGAGATATTCTTTTGTAGAATTATTGGGTGGTCCTTGAGAAACAGGAGTTTTAATTATTTTTGTTGTTAATGAAGGGTCGTAATAAATAAAAAGAAAAGAAAATGAATTTTCATTAAACTCTTGTTCTCACATAGAACCACCGGATTCCAGCCACTTGCCACATCAAAATCAAAATAAAATATTTGCAAGAAATTAATAATGGGAAAATTGAGTAGCATATGAATTATTAATTCAATAAACATATTAATCCTTAAAAAGATAATATAATAGTAACGGAATGACATTTCCACTCTGCTTTGCTAATTGTATCAGAAGTGAAACTTATTTCCCTAGTCAATAATAGGAATTGGTAGTTTCTCTTCTATTTGGTCTTTCTGAACACGCCTATCTTCTTTTGAAGAAAGGGCAAATGTTTTCCCAATTCCTCACTTTTTCTCAGATATAAATTTTCATAACATTTGTGAACAAAATATTTATCTGAAATTTTGATGTTTTCCAAATTAATATTACAACTTGGCAGATTTAAATGAAATATAATTTTTGTCTTTTATTTTTATAACAATGCCATTTACTGTAGACATTAATTTTTTAATGTCAAATATGTCATCAGTTTCAGTCAAACATGACATAACAAAGCAATGTTATGACAGAAGGAAATGACCCATTTTTATGTGAATTTTTTTGCATTATAGCTTGATTTTTGACCAAGTCATTTTTTACCCTTTTCTGCCTTTTCTAAATAATTTTTTGTTGATTTTATGAATTTTGATCTAATTTTAATGGTTCTTGCTTCAAATAATTTTAAGAGATGCATCACATATTCTCCATAGAATACCTGAGTAACCTACTCGATTTCTTCACTCAGAAATTGTAATGTCAACCATTGTACGTACGCCTAATCTAAGATATTACGACACCTAACAGAGCCATTATCAGTTTGGTTGATTTCGTGATAACCAAAGATAGTTTTCCTTGTAAAGAACAGTCAAAGTTCCATCATCCAACATCCAACAACAAAAGTTTGCAAGCTGTCAAATCAACCTAAATTTTTCTGTAACTATTAATTTTAACTTGTCATGAACTTCCAAGCAAAAATATTTTTGGATAATCATTAAAACAAATAAAATCGTATTGTAGCATGATCTGAGTGCAGCCTGTTACAAAATCTGTAATGATACATTTGACCAAATCCTTTTGAATTTCTCCTCCCAAAATTTGTCTCTGGGTCTGCCCCTGATGGGCTTGGAGTGAGCTGGAATTGGTTTTATTAACATTACTGTATAAATTACTTATTCATGTATTAAGGTATGTGTTGATAAATTTAGGAGAATATTTATCAGACAAAAAAATTTGTTTGATTAGTTGCTTTTTGATTAAATTGTTTACCCTGCTATGTGAAATAGGTGTGATAAGTGGAATTGTAGACCACATGTTATGCTGGATAGATAGATAGTTAACAATTGTAGAATTCTGCAAAAATATGTGGATTTACAAAACCAGTTAAACGGACCTGAATTTTCTTAATCTGTGAATTAAAACATCAAGAAAGTTTCGTTGTTTTCAATTTTGGAAATTAATATTAATTTGGGATAACTATTGAGTGTATTGACAGAACTCCTTCTAGTCTGGCAGGAATGACACAGAAAATATCGACATACCTAAAATAACCTGCAGTAATGGAACAAAATCTAGTAATCTGAAGTGCACAATATCTAAATTCCTCACCACAGGCTCTACAATGAGTAGAGAATATTAAGGTTTGAAAGTGAGACTTATATTTGTTTATTTTTCGAAATATTGAAGCTGAAAATTATAATATTAAATCCCTAAAACTTAGAATTCATTAAAGAGTACTTTACGTGAAGTTTTAATTAATTTCCATAATTTTTAATCATCAGAAACAAGATCTTTAGGTACTGAGGTGAACAGTTTCTGCAAGTCATGTGAAATCATACTGTTATCATTAGATATGATAATGGTTTTACTGTCAAAAAAAAGACTAGAATTTTTGACTGCACAATTACTCTAAAGTATAAGGCTGTTTAAATTTTCTTTCAATGTAGTTCTTGATGATATTCACAAAATTAATTCTGGAGTAATTTCTAAAGTTACCAGAAAG